ACAGGTGCCCACCATGCCTGGCTAATTTTTTGTACTTTTATTGGAGATGGGGTTTTGCCATGTTGGCCAGGCTGGTCTCAAACTCCCGACCTCAAGTGATCCGACTGCCTCAGCCTCCCAAAGTGATTGGATTACAGGCATAAGCAACTGCGCCGGCCTGAAGAAGAGGTTTAAGAAATAAAAATCAGGTGGGGCGCAGTGGCTCATGCCTGTAATCCCAGCTACTCAGAAGGCTGAAACAGGAGAATCGCTTGAACCTGGGAGACGGAGAATGTGGTGAGGGGAGATGGAGAATGTGGTGAGCCGAGATCGTACCACTGCACTTCAGCCTGGGCAACAAGAGCAAAACTCAATTTCAAAAAAAAAGAAAACAGAAAGTCAGAAACAAAAAGACTACCAAATAGCTACCTTAATCCTTTCTGGAAAAAGACCAGATTTTAAACATTTAATAATAAACAAATGCAACAATGAATTCCCTGAAATCTGAAAAGCTGGTGACACAAGCGTCCATCCATCTGAGTCACAGACGGGGCAAAGGGCACGAGGTGCCTGGAGGGCCTGAGGTCAGAGCTCAGCCGCATCCCGGTCCTGCCGCTTAGAAGCTCAGGACCTTGGCCAACGACAGGTCCTGAGCCTGTTTCTCCATCCATAAAACAGGCCTCCCAGCCGTGTCAGGGCAGCTGAAACAAGGGTCAAATGAGGAAACTGGCCAGGCACGTTGGTTCACACCTGTAATCCCATCACTTTGGGAGGCTGAGGCAGGTGGAACACATGAGGTCAGGAGTTCGAGACCAACCTGGTCAACATGGTGAAACCCCGTCTCTGGTAAAAATACAAAAATGAGCCGGGTGTGGTGGTGCATGTCTGTAATCCCGGTTCCTAAGGAGGCTGAGGCATGAGAATCGCTTGAATCCAGGAGGCAGAGGTTGCAGTGAGCCGAAATCGTGCCACTACACTCCAGCCTCAGCAACACAGCAATACTTTGTCTAAAAAAAAACAATGAGAAAACCATGCAAGGGATCGCAGCACAATCCCTGCCACGCAGAGGAGGCAAAATCAATATGAAGGGTTAAAACTATTGTTTCTCTGATGAAAAAGGGAAGTACTCAACCAAGTTAGAAAAATACCTTGGCCCTGGTAGCCAGCTTACAGTTCATGAATTCATCCCCAACACACTGTGCTGATTCTCTTAACTTGTTCTGCACATCCTGCTAAAGTAAAAGAGAAAACTTCACCCTCTTCTACTAGCAATGAGAAAGCTCATGTGAGACGAAGGTCACCATGGAGCAGGGTGTCATCCTTCCTTAGGAGAAATACACTTATGTGTGTTGGCTTTGACTTTAGGATGCCGCAGTCTCTTGACTCTCCCTTAGATGTCTTTCTCACTGAACAGGACAGCCTGGCTTGGTTGCAGGAGCAACACAAACCTGCAGCTTCTCTCCAGAGGCATGGCCCTCCATCCGCAGACCTGGGGGCGACTCTCCAGAGGCACGACCTCTGTATCCACAGGCTGGGGGCAGCAGCAGCCCCAGAGACAGACGGCAGATGCCTGAGACTCTGGTAGATTCCAAAAGCGCAATAGAACAGGGCGAAAGTGTCTTCCTTCCTAGGAATACATCCATGGCACCAGGAACACCAGAGCCCAGGGAGCTGCGGGGCAGAGCAAGGACAGGCCCAACCCCCGGCACTGGAGCCCTCTCACCTGAACGAGCCTTCAAATCAGGAGGCACCCAGGAGATACAAAGGGAAACCCTAATGTGCAGCTGTTCACGCATCCAGGAACTCTAGAATTTCAGAGATGCCTTAAACATCATCTGACTCAACTCTCATTTCACAAAAAAAAAAAACACCTGAGGTCAAGTGTGTAGTCCCAGCTACTCAGAGCCTGAGGCGGGAGGATTGCTAGCCTGGGTAACATAGTGATACCTCATCTCTAAAAACAGAAAGGAAGCAAGAAAACTGAAGCCAGGAAGTGACAGATAATGCTATCTATGCAAAGGCCACAGGGAGCATCCTGCCCCTAGAACAGGAGGGTTGCCCACCTGTGACCCACCACACCCCTCCTCCCGTGGCTCCTCTGCTGAGAGCCTCAGCCCCGCCCAGGTCCTGCCACATTCCTCTCTGACAATCCAGATCTCCTTCTAATGGAACGTTTCCACCCCCAGGGCTCAAAAGATCCTATTGCCTGCTCTAGGTATCCCCAGGGGCATCCCAGGGACAGGCCACCCTCCTACAGGGCGAAGGCCCCTCTGCCTTGAGGGAAATGAAAACAAAAGGAACCAAGACTTGTGTGAAGTCAGCCTGGGAGTGGTGGTGTCTTCCTGCAGCAGGGAGGAGGGCAGAGGCCCTCAGGTTCCCATTCAAGAAGGGGTTTCCCTAAAATAGAAGAGAGTCTGGAAACCTCTATTCCAGTGTAGCCCCCGCCTCTCCCCGTACAGGGAGAGGGTCCTCTAGGCACAGGCGGAGAGGGAGCACAGAACCCAACTTCCCTGGAGGGCTAGCAGCTGCCTCCTCCTCAGGAAGCAGGAGCTTTGCTGCAGGGTTTTCCTTTGAGACAGGGTCTCGCTCTGTCACCCAGGCTGGAGTGCAGTGGCACACTCACAGCTCACTACAAGCTCGACCTCCTGGGTTCAAGCGATTCTCAAGCCTCAGCCTCCCGAGTGACTGGGATTAAAGGTGTGCACCACCATGTCTGGCCTCAGTTCTGTTTTGTTTTAGTAGAGAAGTCTCCCTATGTTGCTCAGCCTGGTTTCAAACACCTGGTTTCAAACACCTTAGCCTCTCAAAGCATTGGGATTAGAGGCGTGGGCCACCATGTGCCCAGCCGAGCTATAGCTTCTTTTTTTTTTTTTAACGGAATTTCACTCTGTCACCCAGGCTGGAGTGTAATGGCACGATCTCAGCTCACTGCAACCTCTGCCCCCAGGTTCAAGCAATTCTCTGTCTTTGCCTCCCTAGTAGCTGGGATTATAGGTGCCCGCCACCATACCCAGCTAATTTTCTTATTTTTAGTAGAAACAGGGTTTCACCATCTTGGCCAGGCTGGTCTTGAACTCCTGACCTTGTGATCCACCCACCTCAGCCTCCTAAAGGGCTGGGATTACTGGTGTGAGCCACCACACCTGGCGCTATAGCTTCTTGACATTCACTAAGGCTGTGAGGCAGCCGCTGGGAGGAAGGAACCCCGCTCAGATGTCTGGCTGAGCACATGTACAAGAAGTTGATTCCCAGGTGCAGGTCTGTGCTGTGGCTCTGACAAGGAGGCTCAGCGTGCTTTCTCAGTGCTCCACAGTCGGACAGGGCTTTGTTTTAACTGAACACTTCTTCCCATCTGGAGTCTCTCATCTCCCTAAACCCTCCAAACCATCCAGTCTAAAACCTCAAAGTGACCTCAGAGACCCAAGATCTCCACATAGATTTACAAAATCCTGCCAAGTCAACACCAGGGACACCTCTGAAAATCACATTCAGGCTGTTATCTGGACAGGAAAGAAGTACTGTCAATGTCATTCCTGCTGGGCATCCAAACAAAGGACCAGGAGGATAAGAAACCAAACCTGAGAGAGGAAAGAGCAGCTCCGGAGGCTCAGGGGCTCCTGGGACAGGGACACGCGTGGGGCGGACACACTCACCGAGCCACTGAAGGACAGGAAGAGCTTGAGAAGCACATCTTTGGAGAACACGGGATGCCGTGCCACCAGGTTGACAAAGCGCTTCAGAGCTCTCCTCCTGGCCTCGATGAACTCCCTGTCAGCTGGAGGAGTGCACAGGGTCACTGGACAGAGTCCAGGGTGCCAGCCCCCATCTTCCGCTCTGAGCGAGTTCTCAAAGCTCTCCCTAGAGGTGGCGGAGCACCCAGCGACTAGTGGAGGGCACTGGCTGGGCCCCCAGTGCTACCCAGAAAACGGGCCTGCAAAAGCTGCCCAGAGCAAGAGCCCCACCCCCAAACCCTGCCTCCAGCCACACACACTTGGGTCCAGGAGTTGCCAGGGAAAACCACAGATCTGCTCCTTTCCATCAAGAGTCCTGTGAACCAAGTGAGTGGTCACTCTGATCACCTCCATTAAAGACACCTTCCATAAGCCCTTCCTGGCACTTCTCTCCAGGGAAAAAATGGGTTTTGCTGGTTCCAACACTAAGGCAACGCAGGTTTTCTTTTCTTTTTTAATTCTAATTTTTTCTTGCTGGCACCATCTTGGACTTTTTGATGTCCATTTTTGTTTTTTTTTTGGAGCCAGAGTTTCGCTTTTATTGTCCAGGCTGGAGTGCAGTGGCGCGATCTCAGCTCACTGCAACCTTTGCCTCCCGGGTTCAATCTATTCTCCTGCCTCAGCGTCTGGAGTAGCTGGGATTACAGGCAGGTGCCACCACACATGGCTAATCTTTGTATTTTTAGTAGAGATGGGGTTTCACAATGTTGGTCAGGCTAGTCTCAAACTCCTGACCTCAGGTAATCCTGCCTCAGCCTCCCAAAGTGCTGAGATTACAGGCATGAGCCACCATGCCCGGCCGAGAGTTTCTATTCACTGTGCTTATAGCTCACTCTGCAATGGATCCAGTTACTAATTGCTTCCATTCAGGTTAAATATTTTCACTCCAAAGGGAAAGAAAGTAAAAGCATATATTGATGCATTTAAGACATTTCAATCTGAACACAAACAAAAATGATATTTAAATATCTTTTTTTTTTTTTCTTTTTTGAGATGGAGTCTCACTCGTCAGGTAGGCTGGAGTATAGTGACACAATCTCAGCTCACTGTAACCTCCACCTCCCAGGTTCAAGCAATTCTTCTGCCTCAGCCTCCCAAGTAGCTGGGATTACAGGCATGCACCACCACGCCCAGCTAATTTTTGTAGTTTTAGTAGAGACGGGATTTCACCATGTTGGTCAGGCTGGTCTCGAACTCCTGACCTCAGGTGATCCGCCTGTCTCAGCCTCCCAAAGTACTGGGATTACAGGTGTGAAAACCTGTACCCAGCCAAGCCCAGGAGTTTGAGGCCAGCCTGGGCAACATAGTGAGATCCCACCTTTACAAAAAATAAAATTATGGCCATGGTAGTGCATACCTGGAGTCCCAGCTACTCGGAAGGCTGAGGCGGGAGGATCACTTGAGCCCAGGAGTTCAAGGCTGTGGTGAGCCAAGATTGCGCCACTGCACTCCAGCCTGAGTGGCAGAGTGAGACCCTGTCTCTAAATAAATACATACATAAAGCAGCAGTAATCAAGATAATGTGGTATTGTCATACAGAGACAAATACATCAACGGAACAGAACAGAGAGCCAGGAAATTAACTCACTCACAGATGGTTAATTGATTTTCAATAAACATGGCAAGGCAATTTAACTGTGTAAAGGATTAATTCAATTAATCTCATTAAATGAATGAATGTGGATTTGAAGGAAAAAGTAAACCTCAACTCTTCCCAGATTCCACAGACAAATATTAACCCAGATCATAGGTCTAAACATAAAAGTTGGCCAGGCACAGTGGCTCATGCCTGTAATCCCAGCACTTTGGGAGGCCAAGGCTGGAGGATTGCTTGAGACTGGGAGTATGAGTCCAGTCTGGGCAACATATGAAGATGACACCTCTACAGAAATTTAAAAATTAAAAAAAAAATGTAAAATAGCCAGGTGTGGTGGTGGGTGCCTGTAATCTCAGCTACTCTGGAGGGTGAGGCAGGAGAATCGCTTGAACCCAGGAGGCAGAGGCTGCAGTGAGCTGAGATCATGCCATTGCACTCCAGCCTGGGTGATGAGAGCAAGATCCATCTCAAAAAAAAATTTTTTTTTTTAAATTAGCAGGCAGAGGGGCACACACCTGTAGTCTCAGCTACTTGGAAGGCTGAGGCAGGAGGATCCCTTGAGCCCAGGAGTTCGAGACCAGCTTGGGCAACATAGGGAGACTTGGTCTCTAAAAACAATTTTTTAAAAGGCCAGACATAGTAGCTCACACCTGTAATCCCAGCACTTTGGGAGTCTGAGGTGGGCAGATCACTTGTCAGGAGTTTGAGACCAGCCTGGTCTACACAGTGAAACCCTGTCTCTACTAAAAATGCAGAAAAAAATTATCTGAGCCTGGTAGCGTGCGCCTATAGTCTCAGCTACTCAGGAGGCTGAGGTGGGAGAATCACTTGAGCCCAGGAGGCAGAGGTTGCAGTGAGTTGAGATTGCCACACTACACTCCAGCCTGGGCAACAGAGCGAGACTTGGTCTCAAAATAATAATTAGCTGGGTAACATGGCACATGCCTGTGGTTCCAGCTACTCAGAGACTGAGAGAGGAGGACCACCTGAGCCCTGAAGTTTGAGGCTGCAGTGAGCTATAACTGCACCACTGCACGCCAGCCTAGGCAACAGAGTAAGACCCTCTCTCTGAAAAAGAAAGAAAGAAAAAGACTTGTACAAGTATGTACACCGCAGTTTCATTTACAATAGCCAGAGGTACATTTTGGGAGGTCAAGGTGGGTGGATCACGGAAGTCAGGAGTTCAAGACCAGCCTGTCCAATGTGGTGAAACCCTGTCTCTACTAAAAATACAAAAATTAGCTGGGTGTGGTCGTGTGTGCCTGTAATCCCAGCTACTCAGGAGGCTGAGGCAGAAGAATCCTTTGAACCCCAGAGGTGGAGGTTGCAGTGAGCTGAGATGGTGCCATTGCACTCCAGCCTGGGCGACAGAGTGAGACTCTGTCTCAAAAGAAAAAAGAAAAACAAACAATAGCCAGAGGTTGGAAACAAGCCGGAGGTTCACAAACGGCCGACAGATAAACAAATTGTTCCATGCTCATACAACAGATACTTCTCAGCAGTAAAAAGGAGCAAACTACAGATACAAACAACAAGAAGAAACCTCACAAACAGCATGCCAGCTGGGTGTGGCCACCCATGCCTGTAATCTCAGCACTTTGGGAGGCAGAGGCGAGAGGACTGCTTTAGGCCAGGAGATGGGCCTCAAGAAAAATAAAAAGAGAAAAGAAAAAAAGAAAGAAACAATATGCTGAGTAAAAGTAGACAGACATAGAATGAATACATGCCTCCATTCATATAAAAGTCTACAGTAGGCAGGGCTGGGCGCAGTGGCTCACGCCTGTAATTCCAGCACTTTGGGAGGCTGAGGTGGGTGGATCACGAGGTCAGCAGATCAAGATCATCTTGGCCAACATGGTGAAACCCCGTCTCTATTAAAAATGCAAAAATTACCCAGGCATGGTGGCGCGTGCCTGTAGTCCCAGCTACTCAAGAGGCTGAGGGTGGAGAATTACTTGAACTTGGGAGGTGGGGTTGCAGTGAGCAGAGGTGGCATCACTGTACTCCAGTCTGAGTGATAGCATGAGAGCTTGTTTCAAAAAAAAAGAAAGAAAAGAAATCAGTATAGTGGTTGCTACTATGGAGGAGGGGATGGGGGAATTTTGCTGGTGACAGAAATGTTCTGTCTCTTGATGAGGGTCACACTGGTGTGTGCAGCTGTCAAGGTTCTTTAATTTGCAGCACATAAGATCTGTGCATTTTGGTGGATGTGATGGATCATGCCTGTAATCCCAACACTTTGAGAGGCTAAGACCGGCAGATTGCTTAAGATCAGGAGTTCGGGACCAGCCTGGGCAACATAGGGAGACCCTAAAAAACACTAGCAAGGCATGGTGGCATGCACCTGTGTTCCCAGCTAGTTGCAAGGCTGAGGAGGGAGGATCACTTGAGCTCAGGAGGTGGAGGTTGCAGTGAGCCGTAATTGCACCCCAGCACTCCAGCCTGGGTGACAGAGCAAGACCCCATCACAAAAATAAAAGCCAAAAAACTGCAATTCCCTTATGTAAACTGCACTTTAATAAATTGCTAGCCAAAAATCTCCTATGTATTTGGAAATGTAAAATAACCCATAATGAAATTACAGGCTCTTTGGAACTGACAATAAAAGTTCTACTTATCAGAACTCAAGGGAAGCAGACAGAGAGCAGTCCCTGGAGGGAAACATATAATCTGAAGTGCACATATGAGAAAACATGAAAGACTGAAAATTAATTAGCTCAGGGTCGATTCTAGATGTTAGTTAAAGAATCACAGAGTCAACCCCTTTATTACATTTAAAAAAAAAAAACAAGTATGCAAAAGACCTCTCTTAGCTCATTAGGAATATAAAGGAACTTTCTCAAGCAAATAAAAGGATATCTTGTAAAAAATAAAATAAAAAAAGGAAAAGAAAAATCCTAGAGCAACCATTAAACCATTATATCAAAAGCTTAGACTTCAAGATTATTCACTTTAAAATGGTGGGGGGAAGTATGCCTGTTTTAATGAAAACTATTAAACTCTGTATTTAAGGATCTAGCTAAAGCAAGAAGGCAAATACAAACAGTGGAATTAAGATCGGGAAGGGGCCAGGCTTGGTGGCTCATGCCTGTAATCTTAGTACTTTGGGAGGCTGAGGCAGGAAGATTGCCTGAGCTCAGGAGTTTGAGACCCATCTGGGCAACATGGCGAAACCCCAACTCTACCAAAAAATACAAAAAATTAGCCGGGCATGGTGGCATGTGCCTGTAGTCCCAGCTACTCAGAGACCGAGGCATGAGAATTGCTTGAACCTGGGAGGCAGAGGTTGCAGTGAGCTGAGATTGCACCACTGCACCCCAGCCTGGGAGACAGAGCAAGACTCTGTCTCA